TTCTATTTGTGTTAAATCTAGTGAATGCGGCGCAGTTGTCAATGGTGAATACAGTGGTGGTGATGAACTGCGCAGTTGTTGAGTTATGACCCGGCTCCCCATAAGTGTGTTGGGCTGAAGCAAGAAATAAAAAATAAATAAAACGGTAATCTAACCCATCTGGTCATTGTACTCGCTTACTGGTTAATTATTACCTAAATACTGATGAACGGTTTACGCTCGTTACTCACTACCGGCTCATAGTTTAGGCTCGTTTGTCATGACTCATTTAGCGGTATATTTGCCTAAAACATTAAGAAATTACTGGTTAGACGTTAGAGCCACTTAATATAATATTAATGTATTTGTTTAAGCTGCACAGTAGGTACCATGGGCCTTAGAGCCCAGTGAAACTTGGGGATACGACCCAATGAGGCAAGTGAACTGTAACAACCGGCCGGCAAGTTTTGGACTTAAATCAGCATTTATTACGCCATAATTAAGTAGGCCTATATTAAACACTACCCAAAGAATAACCATTTCTCTTGGCCATTTTGACTGTAGGCAGTCGGGCAAAAAATTACACGTATATAAAGGAGACTAGAGGAGCGGCGCTTACCTGCCTGTCAGCTGCAGTCAGTGAGTGGCGAGTGGTCGGTGAAGGAAAGAGACGAAGGCGAGTTAGTCGAGGCCTTATATGTCAAGGTTCACAGTGACGTCACGAAGCTTCACTGAAGCATTTTTTGCTTCATTGAAGCATTTGAAGCTTCGAACTTGTATATACGTTAAATACGTAAAAACGTCAAATTTGTGGCGATTTCACTTTTCATTAACTTTAAGGGAATAATACAACAACAGTGTCCCAGAAGGAAAAGAAAAGCAAAAACAAAGCAAAACGGCTCTGTGAGCGGCAGTTTTTGGAGTAACTATTATATTTAATCACAGAAAACGGAGCAGATATTTAATCATAGAAAACGGAGCAGGAGTAACTATTATTTAATCACAAAACGGAGGTAACTATTATATTTAATCACACAATGGAGGGTAACTATTATATTTAATCAGGGTTATTATATTTAATCACAAAATGGAGGGGTAACTATTATATTTAATCACAAAACGGAGCAGGGGTAACTATTATATTTAATCAGTGTTCAGTCGCAGCCAATATATTAAATATTGACCATAGATAATCTATTCAACTTGTTTATATGTTGAGAGTCTCGGTCTGTCCTTCACTGCCGCCAACAGTAGTGAAGTAGTTGGGTTGGTTGGTGATACAGAGATGAACCATTAGCTCAGAGGTTAAAGTATACTGCCATGGTCTGCGTCATATACTCCATTGGTATTATTTCTGGTTATGTGTGTATTCTTAGCCCTTATCAGCAGCTTTAACAAGAGTTTTATTGTGTATATAATGTGCTTTATTTATTAACAGCTTTTAGGAGAATTACAATATTGAAAACGATCGTATTTTTATTATTTATTAACAATGTCATTATTTTATGCTGTCAGTCCATTAATTTACACATGACGTCTCAAAAAGGTTAAACAGACAATTTCAACAGTTTATTGATCTTTATTGGGAATTTATCACATGTTCAGGAAAAATACATCATGGATACTAGAGTTGAGCACTTGGAGGCTTTATTAATACATTACACCATAAAACAAGAGAAACAATATTTGTAATACAATAAAGTACACATTAGGTGAACTACACATACAAGATTATTATATAGTACATAATGTAATAGACCTAAGAGGTGACACAAGATGTTGGTCAGGTTGTATGAGTGATTAATCTAAAGTTTATTCACTGAATTTTAATATTTAGAAAAACTTTTCTTTTAAAAAGAAAACGAAGCTACTGTAGTTTGTGGTCTACAGAGCTGGAGCTACTGTAGTATGTGCTCTACAGAGCTGAGCTACTGTGGCTCACAGAGCTGGTGCTACTGTGGTATGTGCTTCAGAGCTGGAGCTACTGTAGTATGGTCTACAGAGCTGGAGCTACTGTGGCTCACAGAGCTGGTGCTACTGTATGTGGTCTACAGAGCTGAAGCTACAGTGGTCTACAGAGCTGGTGCTACTGTAGCCTCCTGTCACATTGGTGGTGCAGTGATGTAGCCTCTTGTCATCTGGTGGTGGTGGTGGTGCCTCAGTCGTAGGGGTGGTGGTGGTGCCTCAGTCATCTGGTGGTGGTGGTGGCTGGTGCCTCAGTCATCTGGTGGTGGTGGTGACTGTGCCTCAGTCATCTGGTGGTGGTGGTGGCTGGTGCCTCAGTCATCTGGTGGTGGTGGTGGCTGGTGCCTCAGTCATCTGGTGGTGGTGGTGGTGGTGGCTGGTGCCTCAGTCATCTGGCGATAGTTGTGGTGGTGTAGGAGAGGTCCGAGGTGAGGGAGAGGGAGGAGAGGTCCGAGGTGAGAGGTGTAGAGGGGTCCGAGGAGGGAGGGGGTGGAGGAGAGGTCCAGGTGAGGGAGGGGTGAGGGAGGGTCCGAGGTCAGGAAGGTGGAGGTCTGGGGTGAGGGGAGGTGGGTAGGGAGAGGGTCGGAGGTGAGGGAGGGGTGGGAGAGGGGTCGGAGGTGAGGGGAGGGGGCTGAGAGGGGTGGGAGAGGGTCGGGGTGAGGGTCGGAGGTGAGGGAGGGGTGGGGAGAGGGTCGGAGGTGAGGGAGGGGTGGGAAAGGGTCGGGGGTGAGGGAGGTGTAGGGGAGGGTCGGAGGTGAGGAGGAGGTGTAGGAGAGGGTCTGAGGTGAGGGAGGACGTGTAGGGAGGGGAGGAGGTGTAGGAGAGGGTCCGAGGTAGGGAGGACGTGTAGGGAGAGAGTCGGAGGTGAGGGAGGAGGTAGGGAGAGGTCCGAGGTGAGGGAGGACGTAGGGAGAGGGTCGGAGGTGAGGAGGAGGAGAGGGTCCAAGTGAGGGGAGGAGGTGTAGGAGAGGGTCGGAGGTGAGGGAGGAGGTAGGGAGAGGGTCTGAGGTGAGGGGAAGGAGGTGTAGGAGAGGGCGGAGGTGAGGGAGAGGGTGTAGGAGAGGGTCCGAGGTGAGGGAGGAGGTGTAGGAGAGGGCCTGAGGTAAGGGGAGGGGTGTAGGAGAGGGTCTGAGGTGAGGAAGGGGGGTGAAGGAGAGGGTCTGAGGAGGGGAGGGGTGGGAGAGAGGCATGAGGTGAGGGAGGGGTGTAGGGAGAGGGTCCGAGGTGAGGGAGGGAGGGGGAGAGAGGGTCTTAGATGAGGGAGGAGGTAGGGAGGGGTCCGAGGTGAGGGAGGAGTGTGTAGGGAGAGGGAGGAGGTGTAGGGAGAGGGCCTGAGGTGAGGGGAGGATGTAGGGAGAGAGTCGGAGGTGAGGGGAGGAGGTAGGAGAGGGTCGGAGGCGAAGGAGGAGGTGTAGGAGAGGGCTCCGAGGTGAGGAGGAGGTAGGGAGAGGCCTGGAGGTAAGGGAGGTGTAGGGAGAGGTCCGAGGTGAGGGAGGTAGGGAGAGGGTCTGAGGTGTGGGAGAGGTGTAGAGAGGGCCTGGAGGTGAGGGGAGGAGGTGTAGGAGAGGTCTGAGGTGGGAGGGGTGTAGGAGAGGGTCCGAGGTGAGGGAGGGGGGTGGGAGAGGTCTGAGGTGAGAAGGGGTGGAAGGAGAGGGTCCGAGGTGAGGGAGGGGGTGTAGGGAGAGGGCACAGAGAGGGAGGTGTGAGAGGGTCCGAGGTGAGGGAGGGGGTGTAGGAGAGGGTCCTAGGTGAGGGAGGGGAGGTGTAGAGGCATGAGGTAGGGAGGGGGTGTAGGGAGAGGGTCGGAGGTGAGGGAGGTGTAGGGAGAGGGTCCGAGGTGAGGGAGGGTGTAGGAGAGGGTCCGAGGTGAGGGAGGGGGTGTAGGAAGGGTCCGAGGTGAGGAGGGGGTGTAGGAGAGGTCCTAGGTGAGGGGAGGGGTGTAGGAGAGGGTTCGGTGGTGGTAGTGGTGGTGGTGCCTCCTGTCATCTTATGGTGGTGGTGCCTCAGTCATCTGGTGGTGGTGGTGGTGTTGCTTCAGTCATCTGGTGGTGGTGGTGCCTCCTGTCTCATCTGGTGGTGGTGGTGCCTCTGTCATCTGGTGGTGGTGGTGTTGCCTCAGTCATCTGGTGGTGGTGGTGCCTCCTATCATCTGGTGAAAGTGGTGGTGCCTCCTGTCATCTGGTGGTGGTGCTTCAGCCATCTGGTGGTGGTAGTGCCTGATCATCTGGTAGTGGTGGTGGTGTTGCTTCCCAGTCATCTGGTGGTGGTGGTGCCCTTGCTGTCATCTGGTGGTGGTGGTGGTGCCTCCTGTAAATCTGGTGGTGGTGTTGCCTCCAGTCGTCTGGTGGTGGGTGGTGCCTCCTGTCTCATCCTGGTGGTGGTGGTGCCTCTGTCATCTGGTGGTGGTGGTGCCTCCTGTCATCTGGTGGTAGTGCTTCAGAATCATCTGGTGGTGGTGTTGCCTCCAGTCATCTGGTGGTGGTGGTGCCTCCTGTCATCTGGTGGTGGTGTGCCTCAGTCATCTGGTGGTGGTGTTGCCTCAGTCTCATCTGGTGGTGGTGTTGCCTCAGTCTCATCTGGTGGTGGTATTGGTGGTGGTGCCTCCCTGTCATCTGGTGGTGGTGCTTCAGTCATCTGGTGGTGAGGTGTTGCCTCAGTCATCTGGTGGTGGGAGTGGTGGTGCCTCCTGTCATCTGAGTGGTGGTGTTGCCTCGTCATCTGGTGGTGGTGGTGCCTCCTGTCATCTGTGGTGGTGGTGGTGCCTCCTGTCATCTGGTGGTGGTGGTGCCTCCTGTCATCTGGTGGTGGTGGTGCCTCCTGTCATCTGGTGGTAGTGTTGCCTCAGTCATCTGGTGGTGGTATGGTTGCCTCAGTCTCTGGTGGTGGTGGTGCCTTCATCTGGTGGTGGTGGTGCCTCCTGTTCATCTGGTGGTGGTGGTGCCTCCTGTCATCTGGTGGTGGTGGTGTTGCTTCAGTCATCTGGTGGTGGTGGTGCCTCCTGTCATCTGGTGGTGGTGGTGGTGTAGCCTCTGTCATCAGCCTGTCCCTTGTTCTTCACTTCTGTTAGGTTAGATGATATAAATAGTTATATAGATTTAATAATAAATAGATAGATTCACAGACTTACTAATTGGCAAAGCCATCAGACACTTATTTACAGTAAGGTCCTTTGCTTAGGCTAGGTCTCTCATCAGCAATAGAATGTCTACAGGAGAAGTAGTGAAAGTTTTCTGATAAATTTAACAAGCATAGAAAAGGAGAAAGGCAGCTCTTATAATGTCAAGATTAACCTCGCTCCCTTGTTTTAAATAATCGTTAATTTGGCTTTTAGCTTCTGTGTTAAGGCAGAGTGTATTGATGATCAGGAATAGTCTAAGTGACTTTGTATGAGTGCCAAGCAAAGGTTGCGAGGGGCATCAGCTGAGACATATGACATTTATATAAACAAATTGTTTATCCTAACATTAGTTTTACTTATTATATTATCTACAATTTATTCTCCAGATGAAGAAAGTCAAGAGTTAGTCTAAGGTATTTCACTCAGTTTACAGTTGAGATGGGTTCAGTCTCACATTGTAGTAAAACTCCCCAAAGTTGGACTCGGTCTGAATTACCGGTGCACATGCCGAGTTGTAATTGGCCGCCTGACACAACACCAGTCTCTCACCAACTGCCAGATAATGTGATGGCATCCAGCCAGTGCTGGATTTAGGCATCAGGTAAGTAAGCTACAGCTTAGGGCCTCACATTATGAGGGCCCTCTAAATATGTTTGAGATACAGTAAGTAAAAAGATTTGTTATGAACCAAATTGCCCTGGCTTAAATAACTTATTTCATTTGCAGGTCAGAAAATTCAGTCTAATACTGTTAATAATTTTAAAGTATCATTTGGAAACCATATAAATTAATTTTTCAATTCATCCATTCACTGACTCATGTTAGCTGTGTGGCAGTTGATTGCTGCCTAGATGCAGTAAATTTGGTTGTTGTTGTGTAACAAATATATACTTTCTTCTCAGCCTCTACAAAACCCTGGGCAGCACTCAAATTAGTCTTGAATCCTGACTCTACAGTACCAAAACATCTGCTGACACTAAACTAGGTGGGAAGCAAAGGCTACTGCAGCCATAGGCCCATAGGTGAATTATACAGTAATTCAATTATGTACTGTAATGATGCTTTTACTCATGTCCTTACTAATGTATTAATGACAGTGAAGAAGGTGAAACAAGAAGAAAGCTGATATTCTTCCTGAGAAAACTGAGGAACTGGAATGTGTCTTCATGTTCATTAGTTAGATCAATTCCACAAACCACCAAGACCCTACAGGACCCACACATTGGCCTTAGCACATGTACAAAGCTTTACACATTGCTCACTAACTTCTTGAAATAAATCCTAGAATATTTTGATGAAATTGGACTCAAAGCAAAAGGAGACCTGCCAGATGTAGAGTACAGGTGTGTGAATAAAAGGGAGTGAGAAAAAACAAGTCAGTGATGGTGATGCAGCAAATGATGATGACAGGATTTCTCCAAGAGACAAATTTTGAGTAAAATCCTTTATTCCCATGATGGATGCCCTTGAAATCAGTGTGAAAAAAGACAGCCATATACAGTACAATAATGTTGCAAATATATATAATTTTTTTGTTGATTTAGAAGAGGAACAGTTGTGTGACAGTGTAAAGTTTCTGGTGAAAGACTATCCTGATGATATTGATGTTAACCTTGTTGGGGAAGTAAAGCTTTTTAATGTTTATACCAAGAAAAATTATTCTAATAAAGGATATTTATGCCACTAGGACCTCTATCAAGTCATCGTCCAAGATAAGATTCATTTGGCCTTCCCTAATGTAGAAGCAATATTGTGGCTACTTTTCAGTCTAATGGTAACAAACTGCTCAGGAGAAAGGTAAATACTGTAGCTGAAAAGGATTAAGAATGAACTATGGACATCAATGCTGTGAGAAAAGTTCTCTGCATTAAGCATTATGTGAATAGAAAGTGAAAAATTTGTAGCTTATCATTGGACGACTTCATCCATGACTTTGCTCTTGGGAAAATATGAAAGAATTTTTTTTAAATTTTATGTGATGTTCAAACAGAAGAGACAGTGCCAGTTGCATTACTGCTTCCATTTACTAAGGGTTGATCTGTGCAATGTGTTATGTTAAATGTATTCAATTTCATATTTGTTGGTTGAGAATTCATAAGGTATTTTATAATGGAAATAAGGCTTTTCTGAAATGTATATGTTATTTAGATAATAAGTTGTTCATTGCATCTTTGCCTATGTATACTGTATATGTAAATACAAAGCTTTATCATTTATTTTTTTATTGACCCTTATGTTAGAATATAATACACCCTTTCTCATTATTATATACTTTATTTTTGTTATGGTATGAGGCCTCTAAATCTTGACATAGCTTATGGCTTCAGCATATCATAATCCAGCCCTCCATCTACCACTGATTGTAGTGTTTATATACGGTAGTTACTACAGTACAGTACAGCACAGCACAGTACAGTACAGCACAGCACAGTACTGTACATATTTCTACCTTCATATCAAGCATGTCACTTGCCAAAGTGCAGTGCCTCTCTCCACCCACCAAGGCTCCAGCAATCATATAGGAAAAGTAAGTGTCCTGGAGTGTTCAGTTGTTATTATGCTTTTAAAAGTTAATATCAAATGAAGACAATTATTTAAAAGGTACTGGATACAGGGAAGTGTACAGATGAGGTGTGTGTCTGTGTAAGATAGGTGTAAATATGGAGGAGAAAGTAGAGATGTCTAATAGATATGTTAAAGAAGAGGTACTGCATGAACCAACCTTCTGGAAAACATGTAACAACACACAAGTGAACATGCTGGACGTGGCATGCTATATGTTTTACCTTGATAAGAGATGAGTTTATCTTGGGCCACTGCAGGATGAGTGAAGGAAGTGGGTGAACTTTTGACAGTTTCTCTAATGCATCTTTGTTGGTCGGTCCACTCAGTCTACCTCCCCGGCCTCGCCTTCCTCTGTCTCAATAAAAAGTGAGTTAGTGAAATACTGTACAGGCATCCCTCAAGGTACAGAAGCTTGAGTAATGCAAATTCACATGAAAGGAACTAAAAAAATATGGAATAATCTTTGAGATACAGAGGAAAAACTTCCATTAGTTACTGGGACACTGCACAGTACAGTACTGGTATTGGTTGTGGGAGACCCAGGTGATGCTTCCAATCAGGGGTAAAGGAAACACACTGGTGTCAAGTTCGTAAGTTCTATTTCTGGGACAAACACACAAAAGGAGTTAAGACGGGAAACAGCGTCCTGTCTTGGAATCTCTCTGGGTATCTCTCTCTGCGCATGCGTGTACAGCGCGCATGTGCCTAAAACATGAACTACATTCAGTGACAAAAGGGAGTATGATTATAACATATAATACAGAGACCTGAATCAATAATGGTAAATAGTACAGTTACATATTACAGCATATTCGTCTCATATATCTACACAGTCTACCCGCAGTTACCACCCGCAGCAACACCACGCCCACGACATTTCTGGGCACCCTCTTTTCACCCTCATGTACAACCTGCTCCTGTCATAGAACCTGGACCTGTAATAAACCTCCCTCCTATCATAGAACCGGCTCCTGTCATAGACCCTCCTCCTGTCATAGAACCTGAACCTGTAATAGACCTCCCTTCTATCATAGAACCTGCTCCTGCCATGGACCCTCCTCCTGACGCAGCCCCTGCAGCAGCAGGAGCACAACAACCATTGCTTGTACAACCTCCTCTAATCCCAAACCCTCTTTCTCCTCCTAATTCTCCCACAGGTTTTGTGTCACTGGACGGAGTTGTTACACGTAGCGGTCGAGTCGTACATACACCTGCCCGGTATGTGTTATGTGTGGGACACAACCCGGACAACATCCAGCCTCCCGCCGCGCCGGGAGGGGAGGGGGAGTATTGTAGTGGACGTCTCCCCTACAACTACGTATCGCATTCCGACGCGCTGGCGTCTCCTAGCAACCAAGTGAGAGCTGACGCTAGATGGTACGGTTGCTTAGCAACGAAACTAGTCACCGGCAACTTTCTGGGTTTTCCCAACATGATTCATAGAGGACTGGCGGCTGCTGCTGGGTATATAAGCTCTGTCTCTCCATTGAGATTCATTCTGCCCATCTTCCTGAACAAGCAACACCTCCTCCAGCAAGCTCCACGCTGTCAGCATTTATTCAACCAGGAGGCCACCAACAGGCAACATCTTCTCTAACGAAGCTCCTGCACATCTACCTCCTACAACACGCTACTCACCGAACGCTTCTACTGAGCAGCCCATCACCACACGGCACCTCCAGCACCAGACTGTCTATCATATAACTTATATATTATACAAGAAAACCACATTAGAGTTTCCTTCCATCCTGAGTGCTAGACAACATTAATATCTCGATACCCCTACAGTGTATTTAAGGTTATACGATACAGCTATTATTTCTCTTTAGTGGACAGTACTTTATTTTATTTTATCATCTTTGCCACTGATCGGCCTGTTAGCCGCTTGGGAGGTCAGTCACGTCTCAGTTAGGCACTGTTGGCAACTGTACAAACACGTTTTGCCGCCCGTGTCTTCGTAAATCACATACATGTTAACATTCACGTAAATCATGCAAATACAAAGCCATATATTTTAATCTTTTGTAAATCACTTTGTTATTTACATATATTCTACCAGTGAGCAAATAATTTATAAGTGTACGCATCTACAGTATGTAACACTGTGACTACGTTAGCGTAACACAAACTAACCAAATACTAACTTATCCTACACTAAAATAACCTTACCTACCTAACCTAACATATCTTACTCTAATCTAATCAAACCAGTATACTGGGTTCTTAATAATCCTGAAAATCAAGGATTATTAAAACAAATTTTTGCTAATAATCTGTAATGTAAAATTCTTTTGTGTAAAAACTGACTAAAGTTCATTTATGTGAATATTTGTTATTCAAATTTCTATAGCTAAGGTTAATTTATTTAATAAAACTCTATCTTAGATAAACGGTATTATTATTATTATTATTATTATTATTATTATTATTATCAACCGAATCGCGGGAATATATCTATACAATCAATAATTCACTTTCTTCTATGACGTTTCCCGCGCAAATTCCCGATATTATTATTATTGTTGTTATTGCTAGCCATTTTTAAAGAAATACTCACTTGGCCTCTTTAATACTACGATAACACCTTTAAACTCATTCAAAGTCATTTAATTCTCGCATTTAATCTCATTCATAAAACTTTATTTACATCCGTTTTCTCTGATGTCATAAAAGAAAACGAAACTTCTCTATGGGAGAACTTCTTTACATTTTATTATGATTGCATAATAAGATGAACTGAATTACCAACGAGAAAATAACAATCCTAAGTAATAATTACTAAACAATTACCTAAATAAAACGTAATAACTTGATTAATTACTTAAAATAATTGGAGTGAAATTGAGATTGAAATATTTTATTGACAATTAAAACTATTACATCAAAAGGACACGGTAGTATACTACTCCCACCCTCACCTTTGCCTTCTCCTTCTGGGGTTTACAAAAAGTTATAAATGATATAATAATGCAAGAATTATCTTTAGAGTAACGAAATATATTATTTTGACATGAATATTATACTACATTAACAAAAATTATTATGAAAACTCAATTATTTCTAATATTCCCCCAAAATTTCATCGCTTATCAGCCTCCTAGCCTTTCGGGAGGTTGGTCTCTTGTTTGCTGCTTTGTTATGGTACCTACGACTGACGCTTGTGAGAGACAAATGCGTTACCGCTATTGACGTTACAATGTTATTACTGCACTTCAACAACTAAGGTCTTTAATCGCTTAACAATGTCAATAATTACACTATTACATCAACAATTAAAGATTTTGAGCAACTTACCCTTGCGGTCTGGCGGACGTAGCACCTCTTCCTTCGACTACACTGATTAAACTGAGCTTTTTCACCAGAATCCACAGAAGGGACACTACCCAATACAAGCATATAATACCTAGTTGGCAACTCATTGTATTGGTGAAAGGTCGATGTAGAAAGCTTCGTGACACAAAGAAAATATATTTTTTAGATTGTATTCGTAGAAAAGGTCAATTAAGAAATAACAACGATTATACTGACAGGATTACTATTACGTTGTGATGTTCTGTAGGAATTGGCGAGCTTTACAAGCACATCTTCGGGGCTCGCGAATATTTCTTGAAGAGGATGAAACTCTGACCCCTTAATACAATGTCTTATTTCCAGGATGGTTGTGGCCATGTCGGATCACGTGAAAATTATCCCCCAGCTTAATTTACCTGATGATTAAACACCCTAACGTTACCTGGGGGATGACGATAAGGTTAGATTAGGTAAGCATTAGAGTATTTAATCATAAGAGGAATTAAACTAGAGTACACGTTGAACAGTATTGGACTTGAAACTAATCCTGAAAATGAAGGAGGGAGGGATCCTACACAAGCCTCGGGCCACCTTACCTCGATGTGGCCACTTCTACAAAGGTGGCCTTAGGTGATAAAAGTAAATGTAAACATATGATGATATTACTGATTAAATATATATCTATTTATCATTCTATCTGACATCCTTGGTATACCATCACAACTATTGGTTCAAAATCAAATAAGAACAGACATATATTGTCCAACATTTTATTATGGTGGTTACAATAATTAATTTAAATATACAATATATGACATTTAGACAGTGATGATACAGAAATATATACAGACATTATTTACAATAAACTTATAACATCTATGGAAGATTACATAATGGTAGAAGATGTGTGAAGGGGTAATGGGAGGTGGGAGGGAGGGAGGGAGGGAGGGGGGATGGGGCTAAATAAATTCGCATTCCTTCACCGGGTTGTGTGTTAACGGGTCCAGTGATATACAATGTTTACTTATGAGGACTGTGTGTGTGTGTGTGTGTGTGTCCTGCCTCTGAATACATCACCTGTCCTCATATATTCGTTACCATACAGAGTTACACGATCATTCACTCATACACAAACTACAGCCAACACAAACATTTACACTGTACTTCGTTATTGCTGTAGATTTTTTACGTAAATCACCATAGGATATTTTTTTCATTATTCTGTAGGAAGGAATTAGACTATTACCTTATTAAATTAATATTATCTGTTGGAGTAAAGTGATTGGAGTGAATCCCTTACTAAACCGTATCTAATAATTACACTGTATTCGGTGTTATTGACGTCATCGAGGAAAAGAGACAAGTGAGCATCGAACAATAACAATAGATCGATTCTGTAGATTTAATTCATTCATATTAATATTTTGTTTTTGTTTCCTAAGGAGTATATGTTATATGCTTCTATGAAGTGCTATTTTAACACACACACACACACACACACACACTTACATTGATACACACACTGACACACAGACACAGACACAGACACTTACACTCACTCTCACACACACACACACACAGACACTTACACTGATACACACACAGACACAGACACTTACACTGATACACACACTGACACACACACATACTAAGAAAAAAATATTATTACCTTCATGAGGGGAAAATTATTTGTTTACTTAATGTAGATGATAGTAGTAGTAGTACAAGATGTTTCTACGCCAGACTCGCGGAGGTGATCTCCGAACAGAAGCAGCAGCCCAGAAGTTATGTTACAGCCTGAATGAGATGTCGACTGTCTTTCTCTCTCCTTCGGTCGGCTTTGCTCTGCCTCAGGGGAACGAGAGCTTCTGCCCCAACTCCGACAACTGCTGCAGATATTGACTATGAGGCAACAGTCACTGAATGCCGCATAGATCTGCGGCTCAACAAATTTAACACAGATAGGATAGCTACATATGTATTAGGATATTTAATATTAAGGTAATTAAATGGTGGCGAAGATGTGGGTATTGGGGGAGGCTGGAGGCCACAGTAGTAGTAGTAGTAATAGTAATAGTAGTAGTAGTAGTAGTAGATAAGAATCCAGAATGTAGGCCTTTAGGGATGGGGGAAGTGCTGAGGCGGATCATCGGAAAATGCATAATGGAGGTGGTAAAGGATGATGTCAGGGCAGCAGCAGCGAACCTGCAAGTTTGTGCTGGCCACCAGGCTGGTGGGGAGGCTGCCATTCACGCCATGAGAACGACATTTGAGCAGCGTGATTGTGAGGCCGTTCTCCGGGTGGACGCTTCAAACGCATTCAACATACTTAACCGCAAGGCCGCACTGCACAACATCAAGATCAAGTGTCCAAGCTCTGCAATGTATGTTGAAAACTCCTATAGGAATCCATCAGACCTCTATATAATAAAAAAACAAGGCTCTAAGAGGTGATACCATCATACAGTCAACCGAGGGAACAACGCAGGGGAACACTGTTGCAATGGCAATGTACGCAATAGACCTATCTGTGCTCCAACACACGATAAAATTTAAAACAACTGAAATCAAGCAAGTGGCGTACGCTGATGACCTTACAGGAGCAGGAAAAGTGGAGGGCATCAAAAAGTGGTGGTACCTGGTAACATCACGAGGCCCACAAATAGGGTATCACTCAAACGCCAGCAAGTCCTTCCTCATTGTGAAGCCAGAACATTAAGAACGGGCAATGGAGGTGTTCGGTGGAAGTGAGGTAAAAATAACAAAGGATGGCCAAAGACACCTAGGCGCAGTAATCGGCACGACGGACTTCAAGACCGAGTACGTAACGGGAAAGGTGAATGAGTGGGTTAGGGAAATCCAAGCTCTGTCTGAGATTGCTAACACAGAGCCACATGCGGCTTTTGCGGCATTCACCCATGGAGTCAAGCATCGCTGGAACTACCTGATGCGCACTATCCCTGATATCGGACCCCTCCTCCACCCTCTGGAAGAAGCAATCAGCGTCAATTTCATTCCCAAATTAGTGAAACACCCTCACTTAACCCCAGCAGAAAGATCACTCCATGCACTACCACCGAGACTGGGAGGAATGGGATTGACCAATCTAGAGGAGATTGCTGCCACCGAACATCAAAACTCAGTTAAGCTCACGGCAGCCCTCACGGACCACATAATAGCTCAGAACGCAACAGGGGAGGTGGATACCAGTGAAGTAAACAAGATTCGAAGGTCCATTACGACAGAACTACAGCACGGCTAAAGTGATAAGTTGCAGCAACTGTTGCTGCAAGTACCAGAGAATTTGAAAAAAAAGTAGCTATAGCGCAGGAGGTGGGCGCCTTGAACTGGTTAACTATGTTACCGATAAGGGCAAATGGTTTCAGTCTCAAAAAACAAGAATTTATAGATGCCAATGCTCTTCCTATGACGTCAATCATGCCATGGTGTGCAAGAAAGGGGGCTTCATATGCATGAGGCATGACAAAGTAAGGGATCTCAGAGCAAATATGTTGAAGGAAATCTGCCGTGATGTCAGGGTAGAACCGACCCTCCTTCCATTGGACTGTGAGATTTTCCAACATAAGACTTCAAACACTTCCAACAAAGCCCGTGTTGACGTCAGTGCTCGAGGATTATGGACGCGGGGACAGCGAGCCTTCTTCAACATCAGGAGTTTTGATCCCATAACCGCATGTGACCATAACTTAGTTCTCGATGCTGCACACAGAAGGAACGAGAATGACAAGATAAGGGCATATGGGGAGAGAATTCAGAACGTTGATCAAGGCAGCTTCATTCCTCTAGTGCTCACAACCTCTGGTGGGATGGGACCAAGTGCATGATGCTTCTACGCCAGACTCGCGGAGGTGATATCCGAACAGAAGCAGCAGCCCAGAAGTTATGTGACAGCCTGGATGAGATGTTGACTGTCCTTCTCTCTCCTTAGGTCGGCTTTGCTCTGCCTCAGCGGAACGAGAGCATCGGCCCCAAAGCCGACAACAGTTGCAGATATTGACTATGAGGCAACAGTCACTGAATGCCGCATAGATCTGCGGCTCAACTAACTCAACACAGCTAGGATAGCTACTTATGTATTAGGATATTTAATATTAAGGTAATAAAATGGTGGCGAAGGTGTGGCTATTGGGGGAGGATGGAGGCCAGCGTAGTAGAAGTAGTAACAATAATAATAATAATAATAATAGGAGGAGGAGGAGGAGGAGGAGGAGGAGAAGTGAACCGTAGGGAAGTAAGGGGGGGTAAGGAGGGTTGTGGTGGTGTGCGAGTGGGTCAGAGGTTGGCTTGAGTAGGAGGGAGGGGTTATGTGGCTGGAGTGGGTGGGGTGGGGTGGGTGGTGGGGTAGGAGGGCAGCTGGAGTCAGGTCAGCAGGTGCCCCAAGGGAATGCCCTGGGCTACTCTCACGATCACGCCCCACACGCAGCCCACCTTTGCCCCACTCCCAGTCCATTTTAATCCCGCCCACCTGGTCCACCCTGTCCCATTAACCCGCCCATCTGGCCCACCCTGTCCCATTAACCCGCCTGGCCCACCCTGTCCCGTTAACCTGCCCACCTGGCCCACCTGTCCCCTTAACCGCCCACCTGGCCCACCCTGTCCCCTTAATCCGCCCACCTGGCTCCACCCTGTCCCGCCCGCCCACCTGGCCCACCCCTGCCCAACCCCTGGCCCACCTGGCCCACCCTGTCCCCTTAACCCGCCCACCTGGCCCACCCTGTCCCTTTAACCTGCCCACCTGGCCCACCCTGTCCCCTTAACCCGCCACCTGGCCCACCCTGTCCCCTTAACCCGCCCACCTGGCCCACCCTATCCCTTAACCCGCCCACCTGGCCCACCCTGTCCCCTGGGCCCACCTGTCCCAAACCCGCCCACCTAGCAATCTTATGTATGTATGTATGTATGTATTGTATGTATGTATGTATGTATGTACGTATGTATGTATGTATGCATGTGAGCAGGTGGTGACCCCGGCAGCCAGGTGGTAATATGACGGGCAGGTGAAAGGTGTGATCCGTACCTCCATGACTAAGCTATTTTTCTCCCTGTTACAAACCTAACGTAACGTAACGTAACCTGAGAAAATGTAATAAATAAGGTAATGGTAACTTGAATACCTGACACACACACACACACACACACACACACACACACACACACACACACACACACACACGTCGACCGAGTTTGCCAGACCGCCACCACCCGATCGAACACTGGGGCCTGGATGACACAACTGGTGGCGCCCGCCTTAGGCACTAGTGTTTTTGTGTTCTCCAGCAGCCCGCTACACCAGCCTCTGTTTTCATCTCTCTCACAGCGTCTCGTCTCGTTTATCCCAGTGTTTCGTCTCTTCCCGTGTCTCGATCTCGTATCTCTTAGCCTCTCGTCTCGTATCTCTTAGTGTCTCGTCTCGTTTATCCCATTGTTTCGTCTCTTCCAGTGTCTCGATCTCATATCTCTTAGCCTGTCGTCTCGTATCTCTCAGTGTCTCGTCTCGTATCTCTTAGTGTCTCGTCTCGTAGCTTACAGTGTCTCCTACTGTCTCGTGAAGTGGCTCTCTGAATATCTTCCTCTCTCTCGTTTGGCATCTTTCTCACAGTCTTGTACCATATATCTCTCATCCTGTCTTTTCTCTACATTATCTCCCAAATCTCTATCATTCTATCTCTCAACATTCCCACTAACATCTATCTCTCAACAGTATCTCTCAGTATCTCCACTAACATATCTCTCTGAAATACCTAACATAACCCTACTACAAAATTACTAACACAGTGACATGAGGAGGTGGACAAGTCGACATGAAGAAGGTGCTGAAGGTGTCATGATTGTTGGCAAAATGGACAGGTTTGGAGTCAGGAAATTGGCCTGTCTATGAAACCTTTGTGTAACCTGGTTTAAGTTGTTTTCGATATTTTATTTAAATATAATAAAAAAGTCCATTATGTGAGTACTAAACAGTAGTAGTAGTAGTAGTAGTAGTAGTAGATAATAATAATAATAATAATAATAATAATAATAATAATAATAATAATAATAATAATAATAATAATAATAATAATAATAATAATAATAATAATAATAATAATAATAATAAACCAGGATATTTTCACCGTTTTAATATTTTTTTTCCCTGTCAATAACTGTATAAAAAAAATTCCCTAGTGGTGTGAGTGGGGATATTTTTTGTGGTTGTCAGTAACGTAATCGAACGGGACTCAAGATGGCAGGGAACTTACAGGGAAGGAGGCACAGCGGGTACTAGGAATAGTGGGTACTGGGCATATTGGGTACTGGGCATAGTAGGTACTGGGCATAGTAGGTACTGAGCATAATGGGTATTGAGCATAGTGTGTAGTGAGATTAGTGTGTAGTGAGATTAGTGTGTAGTGAGATTAGTGTGTACTGGGTCAGCTATTTAATACAACAATGAAATCATTATTCACACTGGGTCTTTGATCCACTTATTGTCTCAGGTAATTAATTGAGATATTTCTTAATTACACCACTTAATTTAACGTGTATGTGTGTGTGTGTGTGTGTGTGTGTGAGAGAGAGAGAGAGAGAGAGAGAGAGAGAGAGAGAGAGAGAGAGAGAGAGAGAGAGAGAGAGAGAGAGAGAGAGAGAGAGAGAGAGAGAGAGAGAGAGAGAGAGCTATGTGATTTTCTCCAGCGTACCCAATTCTTCCAAAGCAATTATCGTCTAAATGAAATATTAATAATCTAACACCCCTCCCCACACACACACACACACGTACACAGTCTTCAAAAAGCTATCAAGCGATGTTCCAACCCTCATAATGTGAACTATCACGTACAGTGTTAAACCGTGTCATGTTAAGTGTTAGCTCCGGGTGTCTCTGGAGCGTTAATGCAGCAATCACTGTGGAGGGCAGACAACTTCTAATAATTATAATTATGACCTTAATAAACAATGACCTGGTGACCTTCAATAGACTCATAGGGAACAACATATCAGTTACTGTTAATCTGTGGGTGTTTTTTGTAATGGTTCTGAGTTATGGATGAGTTAGCTCTGGGGATTGAAGGAACACGCTTTCTCCTTTGTGACACCCAGGTAGTCTAGAGTAAAGGTGTAAGCTTCTTGAGGCAACCTTCTGTAAGGGTGGGAACTTAAAATTGCATGTCTAGGTAGTTATGGCCACGTAAACTGCACCTAAAGCCTGAATACCTACAAAGAAAAATGTTTTGGTGTATAAAAAACTTTCTTTTAACTCTTTCTGGCTAAAAAGTAGATGCTACTTCCCGCAAAAAGTATGTTAAGATGTGGAAAATTAGGTTGAATTTAGTTTTCTTCTAGGTTTCAAGCTTAAATAGGAACACAGCTTAAATGTTCACTCTAATACATTAAATGGTTCATGGTAGAAGTATTTCCATTTATGACAACAAGGAGAAACAGCTTTCAACTTTTCATCTCCCTGTTGTGTCTTGACGTCTCTTAGGGGTACAAAAGTGGACTTGTGTGAGGGGAGGTAGGGAAGTGGAGGAAGAGGAGGTAGTGGAGGAGGAGGGGGTGAAGGATACCAAAATAGCTTCTCTAAGGGCATTCGAGGGAAGGGAGTGAAAACTGAAGCCGTTTTCGAGGGAAATGTCCGGCCGAGAACAGCCACGCCCCCAACATGGACCCACTTCAGGTAGGACAAATCACAGGTATTTATCATATTTCTTTAACCACGAGGCAGATATTTCAAGTCAATGATTTAGAAATTGTTAATTATGAAATATTCACATTGGAGACTTATGAACTTGAGGTTGAAATATATGTACAGATGTTTTTTGTCGTGATTGGGTATCGGATGCCATGTTGAGGCGGGTTCCCTGGTCGTCCACACTATAGCTACACATAGGAACATAGAACAGACACATTATGACCTCTGCGACGCCTGGTGACCTGACCTCGCCACGGGCCCCCACTCCTCGCGCTCCGTTTCTTCTTGTTAATTTATGACGAAGAAGAGGGAGAAGATGAGGAGGGCAGCGGCTGAAGAGATTTCTGTATTTCTGACACACTTTTTTTTCCCCTCAAGAGATTTTCCAGTCATTTCGAGTGTTCTGAATAAATTTCTCTTGCGTTACAGTACACCCAGGGGTTTGCAACACACAGTAAGACCGTCACACAGCAGCGAGTGTGACGAGCTTAAGAGAGATAATAATGTCTTAATATTGTCTTGGTTTTTTCCCTCAGTAAGTGATACGGCTGGCAGGAGTTCCTTCAGTTCAGCGCCGAGATTCACCACTATAAAACACTACACTATAAACTCCCATCCACCATAAAACACAGACCACTTCAGGGCGCCAGTTCCATCCACTCCCAACTCTCATTAAACATTTACTGCCACTTTTATGATGCAGCGGATAACGACGAGGATCTGTCCAAAGTTTACCCACACACTCGTAGGTGAGTAAACCTCTGGTCTCTACTATGACACTTCCACAATATTTCACTGTCGTCCATTGAACAGTAATATTTCCTAGAGATGACCTTATCCTGGTCGTGTTCTAGTTCAGCGTGTTTGTTCTAGACGAGCCAGTGTGGCAATGCAAGCACCGGGAGAGAGGGGTGGGGGGTGGGTGGGTGGGGTGTGTGGTGGGCGGGAGGAGGCGGTGTAGCCACAGGTACTGGGGAGGTCAGTGGTGGCGGGCATCAGTCACAGGAGTGCCCGCCCGCACCTTGGTCTACTGTACTGGCGAGTCGAGCAAACATTCACGCCGCCAGAATAACCATTTCTTTGGCCTATAGCTAACATTAAGTTATGGCCCTTCAGCTAAAACTGTCTTCTCTCCCCCTAAAATTGTTTATTTTTGTTTTGAACATTCCACCAGGGGTGAGTTAGGAGGTGGGGGAGTGCGGGGTGGGCGGGGGCGGTGGGGAGGGGTGGGTGGGGTGAGGCGGTCCCTTGCGTCCTGGCAGGTAGCGTGAGAGGAGCGGCGTGATCCCTCCGGTGACGTCACAGGCAACCACCTCACACGGCCTCTGACGTCATCAGAGGTCAGCTTCATGTCACCAAACCAGACCTTCATTCACCTGGTGGTCAAAGTTACCACTTTGGCCTGAGGGGGAGAAAAGTGTATGTAAGTGACAAAAACTACCAACAGCGAGTACACTTAAAGTTGACTGAGTGTTGAGTGTCTCCACCACATCTTGTATTTGAATATTTAACTCAATGAAAAAAAATATGATGGGAGACTCAATTTAGAACAGCAATCTAACACATTCAGATAATGAGAACCTAACCTAACCTGACCTGACCTAACCTAACCTGACCTAACCTGACCTGACCTAACCTAACCTAACCTAACCTAACCTGACCTGACCTAACCTAACCTAACCTGACCTAACCTGACCTGACCTAACCTCAGGGAACTCCATATAAAAGAGTTTAAGGTCCAAAAGGCACTCTGAAGTTACTGAAGGATTAAAATGTTTTCTACTCCTTAAAATTAATGACCTCTGAGTGATCTTGTGTTTATTTGATGTGAAGAATTATTTTTCGATTGATAGATAGACGGATGGATGGATGAATGGATGGATGGATGGATGGATGGATGGATGGATGGATGGATGGATGGATGGATGGATGGATGGATGGATGGATGGATGGATGGATGGATGAATGGATGGATGGATGGATGGATGGATGGATGGATGGATGGATGGATGGATGGATGGATGGATAGAGTCATGCACGAATAAAGGGACTACCTGGGCCCCTGGGTTGCCTACTGACCACCGTGCGCCATTATCATTCCTTCAGGAGACGACCGCTGCGACAGAGACAGCATGTCGGGGGGCTGCGTCATGAAGTGGCCTCCTTCAGATACTGGCGGCGCCCCTAGACCACCCAGACCGGGGAAGTCGCTCATAGGGCCCCCAGGAGGAAGTGGCTGCTCCATGGACGGCGGTAGACCTGTGGGAGCGTGGGAGGAGGTGAGTTAATTTATCTTTTTTATTTTTTTTAGTGAGTATTGTTTTCATTTGTTTATCTCTCTCTCTCTCTCTCTCTCTCTCTCTCTCTCTCTCTACTAACCGTGGGGGAAACTCATTCCTGGAGGAGGCGGAGGACCTTGCCCGGGGAAGAAGTCATGGAAGCCTTGAGGACCATACCCGAAGGCGTCGCCGTAGTAGGGGAAGCCGTCCTCCATGCTAGGTGACATACGCATCCCCCGAAGCTTACGTGGGTTACCGAAGAGGTGCGCCCGCATCCCCATTGAGGAGAGTTGCTTCATCCGCCGCTCCTTACTGCGCTTGTTTTGGAACCAGACCTGGGAGATGGGAGAGAAAGTGAGAGACAGACCTGGGAGATGGGAGAGAAGGTGAGAGACAGACCTGGGAGATGGGAGAGAAGGTGAGAGACAGACCTGGGAGATGGGAGAGAAGGTGAGAGACATACCTAGGAGATAAGAACATAAGAACATAAGAAAATAAGGAGTCTGCAATAGGCCGGTTGGCCTGTGCATGGCAGCTCCTGTCGGGAGTTACTACCACTCTCTATCATCCATGAATCTATCCAGCCTCCTTTTGAAACTTTCCAGCGTTCCAGCGCTTACTACAAAGTTGCTAAGCTTGTTCCACTCGTCCACCACCCTATTTGTGAACCAGTTCCTTCCTATCTCCCTCCTAAACCTAAACTTATCCAACTTAAATCCGTTACTACGAGTCCTATCCTGCTCGGATATTATAAGAACTTTATCTATATCCCCTTTATTGATTCCTTTCACCCACTTAAATACTTCTATCATATCTCCCCGCACTCTTCGTCTTTCTAGGGAATGCAAGTTAAGTTTCTTTAATCTATGTTGATATGGAAGGTTTCTAAGTCCCGGAATCATTTTCGTCATTCGTCGCTGCACCGACTCTAGTGAATTGATATCCATTCTATAATAATGGCACCAGAACTGAACAGCATAATTGAGGTGCGGCCTGACTAGCGCAAGATATAGTTGCAATAAGACCTCTGCACTCTTGTTACGTACACTTCTAGATATAAAACCTAATACTCTGTTCGCCTTATTTCGAACATTAACGCACTGTTTTCTAGGCCGTAGGTCCGGGCTTACAAGTACCCCTAGGTCTCTTTCACAAGTCGACTTCTCTAGGTTGATGTTGTTAAGGCTGTATGCATTGACAGTATTTGTTCTTCCAATATTAAGTAAGTTGCACTTGCTGGTGTTGAATTTCATTTGCCATTTTTCTGACCACTCCTGCAGTTTATTGAAATCCTCCTGTAGTGCATTTGCATCCTGCCCTGAATTAATCTGCCGCCCTATTTTGGTGTCATCCGCAAACTTGCTTATGTCACTGCTGATCCCAGTACCTAGATCATTGATGTCGATTATGAACAAGAATGGGCCCAGTACTGACCCCTGGGGAACCCCACTAGTTACACAGCCCCACTCAGATTTAACACCATCTACGCTGACCCTCTGCGTTCTATCGGTGAGCCATGATTTTATCCAATTTAAAACTTTCCCCTCGATACAATGGGATAGAAGGTGAGAGACGTACCTAGGAGATGGGAGAGAAGGTGAGAGAGATACCTAGGAGATGGGAGAGAAGGTGAGAGACATACCTAGGAGATGGGAGAGAAAGTGAGAGAGGAAAAGGACTAGTCACTGTGTACCTGAATATACAATCATGGGAAAAACTTTACGTATGAATCTTTTAAAGTTGTGAAGAAGTCTGGTTTTGATTTTGACTGACTGACTGCCACTCTCTCCCACAAGACCTGACTGGGGCCTGGTTAACTCCTTCCTCCCACACATTCCAACAAGACCTGACTGACTGACTCCCACACACTCCTACAAGCATTAACTGACTCCTCCCTCCTGACACTGACTGACTCCCACACAAGACCTGACTGACTGACTCCCACACACTCCTACAAGCCTTAACTGACTCCTCCCTCCCACACAATCCCACAAGACTTGACTGACTGACTCCCACACATTCCTACAAGACCTGACTGACTGACTCCCACACACCCCTACAAGCCTTAACTGACTCCTCCCTCCCACACATTCCTACAAGACTTGACTGACTGACTCCCACACAATCCCAAAAGACCTGACTGACTGACTCCCACACACTCCTACAAGCCTTAACTGACTCCTCCCTTAAAAAACCCTTGGCAAGATATGAAATTCATCCTTGTGGTACACGGACACAATCCTACAGCTACACCATCCTACAGCTACACCCCCAGCTACACCATCCTACAGCTACACCATCCTACAGCTACACCATCCCACAGCTACACCATCCTACAGCTACACCATCCTACAGCTACACCATCCTACAGCCACACCATCCTACAGCTACACACCATCCTACAGCTACACCATCCTGCAGCTACACCATCCTACAGCTACACTATCCTACAGCTACACCATCACACAGCTACACCCATCCTATAGCTACACCATCCTACAAGGACACAATCCTACATAACACAAGTAAGGCAGTAGGTCTCCTCCCCACCACCCCCCTCAAATAGTGTGTGGTAAAATGAATATGATTGCCGCTAACCTCTGCCGCCCTTGCATCATCCATCACCCCACCATCGTCTTGGTGAGGCGAGGGCAGAGGTTGAGAAGAGGGGAGGGGTGACGGTGTTCCTAATCACAGGAAAATGGTGTGAACCTCATTAATATAATAATTAGGGGCAATAATTTGCGTGTCAATACTACCAACAGTCACGCACGTTTAGAAGGAGGAGAGGAGGAAGGAGGGGGAGGAGGCGAGGGGAGGAGGTGTGAAGGGGTGGTGACAGTTACATTCTTTGGGGAGGGGGAGAGATGGGAGGAGGAGGGGAAGGAGGGGTGAAGAGAGTGGTAAGGAAAGAAGAAGTTAAGGAAGGAACGAAGGAAGGAAGAGGAAGACAGGAAGAGGAGAGGGGTGGGAAATGTACCACTGAGAAGGAAGAAGGATGGACATAGGAGAAGGATGTTATAAACTTAAGGATGGTATAGGATGTCTCAGTCGGCCAAACGCACGGATACTTAGCTGAAGGCGGACCCAGAGGAAGGGAGGGATTAAGGATTATGGAAAGGACAGTAGGTACGGATTATGGAAAGGACAGTAGGTACGGATTATGGAAAGGACAGTAGGTGCGGATTATGGAAAGGACAGTAGGTGCGGATTATGGAAAGGACAGTAGGTGCGGATTATGGAAAGGACAGTAGGTGCAGATTATGGAAAGGACAGTAGGTGCGGATTATGGAAAGGACAGTAGGTGCGGATTATGGAAACGACAGTAGGTGCGGATTATGGAAACGACAGTAGGTGCGGATTATGGAAGGGACAGTAGGTACGGATTATGGAAAAGACAGTAGGTGCGGATTATGGAAACGACAGTAGCTATGTCATCTGTATAAACATGTATTCGACTGTATTTAAGTGTAATTTAACTAATAAACAAAGCAAATATCACTGTATTCTTCTGTAGGTTCGTAGTTGTGTGTGTTACAGGTGTGTCTCTGTTATCATTAGTGACTCAGGTAAGGCCAAGCTTTACGAGCGAGAGGTACAGGTGAGGTGGCTTGTAGCTGGACTCACAGGTATTTCGCTAACACCTTCTGTCTAACCTGTGTGTGTGTGTGTGTGTGTGTGTGTGTGTGTGTTCATTACCTCTTCTCAATCCATAATTCTCCTCATCTGTAATCCTTTCCTCCTATCCTCACTCTCCTTACCTCTATCCTCACCCCCTATTCTCATTTTCCTCACTTTCATCATCTCTATCCTCAATCTACTCATTCTTAATCAAATTCCCCCTCTTCCTATCCTTACTCTCTTCACTTTTGTCTTCGTCCTTATCCTCATTCTCCTTACTCCTCTATCCTCACTCCTTAACTTCACCTTAGCGGCCAGGTGAGGCAACCCAACTCCCGTGACATGTAGCGTGACAACCAACACAATAATTTGCGGTTCGACGACGCCTCTTCCTCCTCCTCCTCTTCCCCTTCCCGTCATAAGGGATTCCATTTCTTATCTCTATGGCAATTGATTCAGTTTCTGTCATAGTGGAGATGGGCGAAGGTAGGCGGAGGTAGGGGAAATGGGGGGAGGTGGGGGGAGATGGAAGGACGTGGGGGGGGGATGGGCGAAGTGGGCGGAGATGGGCGGAGATGTCGGGCGATGGGCGAAGGTGTGCAGAGATGTGTAATATAGGCGGACCTGCGTTATCGTGTGAGGTAAGCATTTAATTGAGCCATGGGTGATAGAAGCGGCTCTATCCTCACTAAGACACAATCTATTGTCAGTGAAATGGACCTATCCTTAATTGAATATGTACAAAATTGGGCTAAGTGTTATAGAAATGGGTCTAATTATTAATGAAATAGGCCTATCTTTAATGAAATACGGATAGAAATTGGGTTAACTATAGATATATCAAGACAAATTGGAAATTAATTAATCAGTTGTAAAGAAAATGGTTGTTATATGGTTTGAGAGAGAGAGAGAGAGAGAGAGAGAGAGAGAGAGAGAGAGAGAGAGAGAGGCAGGCTGCGGTCAGGTTCGTGGTCGGGGGGTCGAGGCTTCAAGTTTATACAGTATGTCTGGCATTTTTCACTGTTTTCTGATGGCGTGAAATCAATACGACTTTTAAACTTCGCGGGCGTGAATTTTTTCCCCAGTGAGCCGTCAACTCTGGCAGTGTAATCCCTCCTCTCACAATAGAAGATTAAATAACACACACCATAAAAAAAATAGCATCGGTAAACGTGAGCAAATTTAGAGGGTTTCATCGCACTTATTGGCATGTTTCTTTATATTCTTTGGCTTACGATGCTCTTTTGTTTGGTTTCTGATTCAGCTCTTTGGGTTATAAGTAATCCTGATGCCTTATCTGTCATTCAATCAGTTATCGTTACTGTATCTCGCATCATATAAGGATATTTATGTAAAATATAACTGCAAAAAATGATCTTACATAAAACCTTCGTGGCTGTGAGACCATTAATTAGACCATGTTAGACCATCGTACAAGACTGACCATTTTCGCGCTAACATATCCTTATCACCAACGTAAAAAACAGACCTAACTAATCAGATTCTAGCGCCCCTGACAACTAGCGTACATATTGAACCTCATAGCCACAAGCATATTCTGACACCGATGTACCAAACAGACATCTTAGAAGCTACCAAAATCTGACTATCAACGGACAATACGTAACCAAATCTGACACTGGGATAATCTGACTATTAACACAGAGAACAGAGCACTCAGAAGCTATACATGCTCTGACCAGCTAACAAACCAGAGCCCCCAGAGCCCCAGTTGTCAGAGGTATTGTCAGAGAGTGAGTTCAAGTAGAGGCGGCAAGCGTAAAATATGGGCCCTGTCTGAACGCATTAAGCAAGTTGTATAGGAGACGCCGTAAACCTGTCCGTTGTGGAGACGGGTGTAGCCTCAGATCCCCAAATGGCTAGGCAGTGGCGGTAGACGGGGGTGGTGGATGAGGATGGTAGAGGGGGGTGGTAGACAGCGATGGTTGACAGGGATGGTAGACAGGGGTGGTAAAGGGGGTGGTAGACAGGGACAGAGGGGTGGTAGACAGGATGGTAGAGGGGTAGAGGGGGGGTGGTAGACAGGGGTGGTAGACGGGTGGTAGAGGGGGGGGGGTGTAGAGGGGGTGGTTGACAGGGATGGTAGACAGGGGTGGTAGAGGGGGGGTGGTAGACAGGGATGGTAGACGGGATTTTTTTTTAGACGGGGAAGTGAAGTTTCTAGCGTTGGTTTTGTCCAGATTTACAGTACAGAAGGTCCGGCCCGTAATTGGCACTTCCTCTTTTTCATAAATAAACTTTTAATATATGATAATATTCCTCAAACTATAACAATATTTACAAGATAATTATTGTAAAGTTTCGTTTTAGTTAAAAAAAAAAATAGTGAATTCTGTAATGATTTTCGAGTTAGAATTCTATAGGTATTATAAGACTTTCATTTGACCGCACTATAAGACTCATTTGACCGCATGTAAAAATTCTCATATGACCGCAACATAAGATTCTTATTTGACCTCAACATAACATTCTCATTTGACCGCATTATAAGACACTCATTTGGCCGCATCATAAAACTCATTTGACCGCAATATAATATTCCCATTTGACCGCAATATAATATTCCCAATTGACCGCACTATAATATTCTCAATGGACCGCCAATTTTAACCTTTTATTTGCTTAAAGCCAGACGGTTTTATTCAGTTCAGAGGGGACACTGTACGCGAGTGAGTTAGTAGACTATCACGCACTTGCTTCACTACCTCCACTCTCTTCACTACCTCCACTCTCTTCACTACCTCCACTTGCATCACTATCTTCACTACAGGAACACCACTTTAAGTCGTTTCTTTAGCTAATCTCAAAATATCTCCTCTAATTTGGTGTAACAAAAAACAATAAACAACAAAAAAATTCGACCTCAAAATATAACCCAAAATAAGCAATAATTTGCCTTTATACATCAACAAAAAATTGGACACGTGAAAATTTATATAATAACTCACACAGGTAAACTACACAGGTAAACTACACAGGTAAACTACACAGGTAAACACACAGGTAAACTACTCACTATGGTATAACCTCATCTAACCCTTTCAAAATCGTATGTAATAATAATTCATGGTCGCTATATTAACCAAATTGCCCGCAGTCTTTCACATAAACCACGTTATAGTGAAGGTTTTTTTACGTTGTAGTGAAGATTTTGTTACGTTGTAGTGAAGATTTTTTTACGTTGTAGTGAAGATTTTGTTACGTTGTAGTGAAGATTTTGTTACGTTATAGTGAAGATTTTGTTACGTTGTAGTGAAAATTTTGTTACCGAATTTTTATAAGGAAATGTGATTTTTCCTCGTTTGTGGTATAGTTGGGGAATTTTTTTTATGTAATATATATATATATATATATATATATATATATATATATATATATATATATATATATATATATATATATATATATATATATATATATATATATATATATATATATATATATATTTTTTGTTTATAATTAAGTCTTGGGGTTGATTTACTGCTCATAAACTTTTGTAAACTTTTGAGTTACGTTTTAATGAAGAGTTGATAGTGCATTATTGCCATTAGTTATAATTACGGCACAGTGAAGACTTAATGACCGAATTATTAGTTAGGTTAGGTTAGGTTTGGTTAGGTTAGGTATTTTTTTAGTTAAGTTAGAGTGAAAATTAACCCCGAGTTGTCAGTTAAGTTAAATCTTTTGTTACTTATTCAGAAAATTCTCCTAGTTATATGGTAGTGAATACAAGTGATTAACATTACTACTTTTTTTACTAATACTTTTTTTTTATAAGTTACGTGGAAGCGAAAATTTAAACCAAAGTATTAATAGTAACAATCTAATATTTTATATAAACATATTTTTTATATACTTTTTCCCCCAAGGAGTAAGGTTCCTTCCAAGATGATGTTCATTATCATACTGACGGTCGGTATAATGAAGGGTAGAGGATGATTGACAGCTGCCATCATACTCTATCAATATACCTGGGGCACCTTCATACTCCGGGCAGGTGAGCGTCTGGACTGAGGTATTTCTATAATGCTTTGATATTATATATACATAAACAAGAACGTGTGTGGGGTGTTTAGTGGTTCAGTGAGGCCTTATTATCAACACAAGTATTTTAATGGTTGGGGCGAGAAGGAGGGGGAGAGAGGGAGAGAGGGTGGAAGTGGGGTGTGTTCTTCTTAGGGGGTTTAATAATAGGGAAGGGGAGGAGAGGGGGATTGAGGGAGGGGAGGGGAGAAAAGGAGAAGTTTGTCCTAGGAGGAGGAGGGATGAGGAAGACGAGAGGGGAGGAAGGGAGTTGGGGAAGGGGAGGGGAGAAGAGGAATATGAGGAGAGGAAGAGGGGGAAAAAGAGGCAGTGGTTTAAAGTAACCAAAAATATAAAGAGGGGGAGGAGGAAGAGAGGGAGGAGGAGGAGGAGGAGGAGGAGGAGGAGGAGGAGGAGGATGGAAGGCTGGATGACTAACAACAACAACGAAACAAAACCAAAAAAATAGGAAATAGAAAAAAAAACAATAATTTATAATACAAAAAATATGACAAACTATATGAACCTATACAACAATAAACCTATATCATACACACTCAATCATACAGAGTAATATAGGCCTATACAACGTTATCATGCCAATATAAGCCGTACAAAGCCCCATATAGGAATCTGTACTATACTCCACGCCAGGATATATATTACTAGTGCGAGTTATATCACATAGTGCCGGCAGTGTATGTGAATGTCCGGTATATCCATTCAGGTGTATGGTCGACTGGAAAACCCGTATTTATGGGGTAGTGTGTGTGTGTGTGTGTGTGTGTGTGTGTGTGTGTGTGTGTGTGTGTGTGTGTGTGTGTGTGTGTGTGTGTGTGTGTGTGTGTGTGTGTCCCTTGATCTGAGGACTAAGTCATAAATGGTCTCGTAAAATCTCATGTATGAAGCTAACGTAAAATCTGATTTATGAAGCTAACGTAAAATCTGATGTATGAAGCTAAAGTAAAATCTGATGCATGAAACAAGACCCAGAAAGGTGTGACTTACCTGTATAACCCGCATAGGGAGGCCCGTCTCTTTAGCCAACTGCTCCCGGATGTGACGTGTGGGTTTGGGCGTGGAGGCGAAGGCGCTCTTGAGAATCTCCAGTTGTTTGGCTTTGATCGTCGTTCTGGGACCCCGCCTCTTGTTCCCGCCCTTCGTTACCCGAGGGAGGGGGAACATGTATCATACAACTCAGCATACATAGAGGTAATTCATTTGTCACGTGTCCATGGGGTGTGTTTGTTGTGAGTTAACATACACGTTCTTATAAGCTCCTTAGTGGGTAAAGACCAATGATAAGAGTGATAAGATTTTCTTTACACCGAGGAAAGTTAATCATTTGCTCCCGAGTTTATAACACAGAGGAAGAGTTTGAATGAGTATTGAATATTTTATATCATTGACATCATAAACAACATTTACAGGTATGCCATGATTGTAAAAAAAAATCATTTTGAATAACTATTATAAGTTTTACGGTAAATATTACAATGAAAAAACAAAAAAACAAAAAACAGTGCAATAGATTTTTTTTTTGGGGGGGGGGGGATCACTCTATATATCATTACACATGATTTATGTTATGGGATCAGCACCAAGCTTAACCGGTGACCACGACAGGTAAAATCACCAGGTATAGTGATGATTAATTAATAGGGTCATTTTCCAGGTATTCAAAGGTGACAGGGTATCGGAACCCATTAAATAAGTGTGAATAGAAAATATTTTTAATGTGTCTACGATCCTAAAATAATAACCATTCGTACGTATTCTGAAATCTTGAACAAAATCACCAAAATTCTGGGGGGGGTTTATTCATAGATAAACCGCAAACACGTTCTTTAAAACCCAGCTAACTTTGAACCTTGGATATAAACCATTTAATAAAGTTACAATGATGGTGATACATATATAATGATCCCTACTCGAGTACCATTATTATTTAACACTAAAATAAAGCTTTTTGATATATGTTCAGAAAGATAAAGGATTCATGAATACTTTAGTAGCGAAGCACTATTCTCCTACACACACACACACACACACACACACACACACACACACACACACACACACACACACAACTATAATAATAACGCCATAAGAAAAACAGGAAAAAATATTTGTGGAAAGTTATTGTGATTAAGAGGCGTCTGAGGGTGATACAACTCAGCTAATTCAGATGACGGTGATTTAACTCAACGATACATTGGTCATAGTAGTGTGTCATGACTTGTCGAATGTTTAACGTGTAGACGAAGGAAGGATAATGAGATATACAAATATACATACATACATAGAGATATATACAGACATACATACATACATACAGACACAAAGTTCTGAATATATGCCGTTTATGTTTTAATATATGCTGTTTTTAATATAAGCTAAATAATTATTCTGAACTGTATGCCAAATATAACTTAAAAATAGGTAAATATGTGGGTTTTTTTCAATATATATTTCATGTTTTTTTTTCACATATTTTATAATATTTGTGTGTAAAATTTCGACTAATATTTTTGTTTTTTTAGAGTTTGTTCATCATGCCTTCCGTTTAGTCTATTTTCATTCTTTCTCTATCTCTCTGCGTCTCACTTTCTTATCGTTGTTATTACCCGTCACCACCACCTTCCCTCTCAGCCTCCACTTCCCTTCCTCACCTCACCCTCCCCCTCACCCTTCCCCTCTTACCCCAATCTCCCCCCTCACCCCTCACCTCCCCCTCCTCACCATCCCTACTCCCTCCCTCCCTTTCCCCTCCACCCCCTTCCTCCACCATCCTCCTCCCCCTCCACCTCCCCTCACCTCCCCTCCCTCCCCCTCTCCTTCTCATCATCAACTAAGCAGCTTCTCCACTACCACCTTGTTCCTTGTATTCACTACCGCCGCAATTGTCCGATGCGTCAGGTCGTGGAAGGTGTCAGGTCACTGTCCGTCAGGGGCGTGTCATAGGGATACTCACCTACTCGGCGTTAAAAAACTAGTTGAGGCTTTTCAGTGTCAAGTGCAGGAGAAACTGGTATGTGTGTGTATATGTGGTGTGTGTGTGTGTGTGTGTGTGTGTGTGTGTGTGTGTGTGTCAGTTAGAACGATGGTAACTGCAGAAAATATAAAATTACCGATAACTATTTATTAATGTCAATCTATAACATAAATTCCGGCTACTGCACCAAACATTACTAGAGACTCAGGGCCTTAGCGAGGGATACCATCTGAAGGCTCACCAAACAAAGACTCCAAGATAGAATTAAAACCCAGAAAATTCTCACTGTCACCCAAGTTACATGTCCAGGTACAGAAAAACCTCATTTATGTAACCACAGAATCATAGGTCAGTATCTTACAGCCATATAAACTGTATCTAATGTAACGAGTAATTTACTGTAATTTGTATACCACCACTGCATCTACACCTGCATTACCAAGTTGTTAAATAACTTACCTGTTGGGCTGGTTGGTGGTTAATATATCTATATCATTCCAGGGCAGATAGGTAATGGGGGTGGGGGGTGGGGGGGGGGTGGCTGCTGCCTTCCAACGCAACATAATATTACGTACTGTGAGGTAAGGGCAGCTCTTGATGTTGGGGTGTGGCGGGAGGGTGTGGTGGGAGGGTGTGGCCACGGTGTGAGGGACATAAGGCTGACCCTCACGCCTCCCTCCCCTCCCGCAACACACACACACACACAGAGCTGCCCCTCCCTCGCTCCTCGCCTGCTCCTCTCACTCAAGCAGACACTCCTCGCCTGCTCCTCTCACTCAAGCAGACGCTCCTACTTTTCTTGTCTTCTCTCTCTCTCTCTCTCATTTTTGTGTTCCATTCACGATATTTTCTTCGTTTGGTTTTAAAGAATAACTTAACCTAACCTCACCTAACTTAACCTAAGCTAATACCTCCCCAAAGTTGTATTTAGGTGTTCAATTAGGTGAAATAAACTAGGGGGGTTAATCCTCAGGTGTTCTATAAAATATTAATAAAGTGTAAGTATGTCTGCGATGTTATTATTATTTAAGTCACTGTGATTCTGTTTACCAAGATAGAATAAAAAATAATAAGGGATAAGAGACTAAAAAATATCGACAATCAGAGCATCAGAAAAACAAAAGAAAATCAGAAAAACCAAGGAAAGTCAGAAAAACAAAAGAAAATCAGAAAAACAAATGAACACCAGAAAAAACGAAGGAAAATCTAACTTAAGGTGTTTATATTAAGGTACTGAAGGTAGGTATAAGGAAGAGGGTAATAGATACTATAATCACTGAACTTAGAGAGAATGTAAGCGTTTATATAGAGGATCTTACTGCAGTCTTTTGTTTATTTGGGTATGTTAGTAAACGTATGGTTAGCAATGTGCCTAAGGGGTTCACGTGGTTATCTGAAGATGGTGTTTTAGGGGGCGTGGTTATCTGTAGGGTGTTTTGGGGGGCGTGGTTATCTGTAGGAGTGTTTTGGGGGTGTGGTTATCTGAAGATGGTGTTTTAGGGGCGTGGTTATCTGTAGGAGCTGTTTTGGGGGTGGTTATCTGTAGGAGCTGTTTTGGGGTGTGGTTATCTGAAGATGGTGTTTTTAGGGGCGTGGTTATCTGTAGGAGCTGTTTTGGGGGTGTGGTTATCTGTAGGAGCTGTTTTGGGGTGTGGTTATCTGAAGATGGTGTTTTAGGGACGTGGTTATCTGTAGGAGCTGTTTTGGGGGTGTGGTTATCTGTGGAGCTGTTTTGGGGGTGTGGTTATCTGAAGATGGTGTTTTAGGGCGTGGTTATCTGTAGGAGCTGTTTTTGGGGGCGTGGTTATCTGAAGATGGTGTTTTAGGGGGCGTGGTTATCTGTAGGAGCTGTTTTTTGGGGCGTGGTTATCTGATGGTGCTCTTTGTAACCATGACACCATCTCTACTTCAGTCATAGGGGTTCATAAGGGTTCACTGGGGTTCATAGGGGTTCATAGGGGTTCACTGGGGTTCATAAGAGGTTCATAGGGGTTCACTGGGGTTCATACGGGTTCATTAGGTTCACTGGGGTTCATAGGGGTTCACTGGGGTTCACACAGGTTCATTGGGGTTCATTGGGGTTCAAGGGGTTCTAAAACTTGGGTACTACACACAGCTAACACGGGGTACTACACACAGCTAACACTTGGGGTACACCTAACATGGGTACTACACACACCTAACATGGGGTACTACACACACACCTAACACTTGGGGTACTACACACACCTAACATGGGGTACTACACACACCCTAACACTTGGGGTCCTACACACACCTAACATGGGTGCTACACACACCTAACATGGTACTACACACACCTAACACTTGGGGTACTACACACACCTAACATGAACTACACACCTAACATGGGGTACTACACACACCTAACACTTGGTGCTACACAGCTAACACTTGGGGTTACTACACACACCTAACACTTGGGGTACTACACACACTAACACTTGGGGTACTACACACACCTAACATGAGACTACTACACACCTAACACTTGGGGTACTACACACACCTAACATGAGGGTACTACACACACACCCAACGCGGGTACTACACACACCTAACACTTGGGGTACTACACACACCTAACACTTGGGGTACTACACACAACTAACTGCTTAGTACTACACACACTAACACTTGAGGTACTACACACACCTAACACTTGGGGTGCTACACACAGCTAACACTTGGGGTACTACACACCTAACATGGAGTGCTACACACACCTAACATGAGATTGCTACACACACCCTAACACTTGAGGTTACTACACACAGCTAACACTTGGGGTCCTACACACCTAACACTTGAGTTACTACAGCTAACACTTGGGGTACTACACGGTAACACTTGGGGGTACACACACCCTAACTGAGGGTGCTACACACACCTAACACTTGAGGGTACTACACACCTAACACTTGGTGCTACACACACTACTTGGGTACTACTCACACCTAACACTTGGGGTACTACACACAGGTAACACTTGAGGGTACTACACACACCTAACACTGGGGTACTACACACAGGTAACACTTAGGTGCACAGGTAACACTTGGGGTACTACACACACTAACACTTGGGGTACTACACACACCTAACACTTGGGGTACGTATAGACAGCCAACGTCAAGGGCGCTACACAACTAATAGGGACTACGACACACACACACACACACACACACACACACACACACACACACACACACACACACACACATATAGAGCAGCAGGCCGTGCTACATTAAACCCTGCAAACGCGGTATTAACCTTGGTGTCGCCAACACTCATGGGCTCGAGGATGGGCGTGGTGCTGGTGGGCAGGACCACTCAGGGACCTGGTAGGCGTGTTGGACGTCCCCCGCCTCATGGCCGCGCCAGTCCGCCCCCGCCGTGGGCACGGTGGCCCAGGGGGCAGGTAGCTAGGGTTGGGGTTGGCTGTGAGTATGGGCGGAGGAGGGGCCCTGGCCACTAGAGGGCGGTGTGCTCGTGTTGTTGTTGGTCTCGATGTTCGGCTTCACGTCCATGGACTCCTCCTCCTCCTCATCAGACCCGCCCGTGAAGGAGTCTGCGGGAAGGTCGGCCGTCACTCCGGGTTACCTACAGAATGGAGGGGCCCTCCTTGTCACCACCACCACCACAGGGCACAAGCAACCTCCTCCCGGCGCCCGCCCAGCCCTTCCTCCCGCCCTCCTCCTCACTTGTGTGTGCCATAGGAATATATAAGGTTTACTTTACTATAATGACAACTTTAAATAATAATAAAGAAATGTGAAGAGTGAAGAGGGCGGCCAGGAAGACTGTTGCGTGTGGTGAGGGGACCTCTCTGGCGGGCCTCGACGGGCAGCCTACAACACTTAAGTGAGTCATGTGTCACCTGCCTGGCTCACCTCCACACCAGATCAACCTCTGCAATCCCATGGTGACTGTGGGGAATAAACTGTGTTAAGTAATGGAGAAATTTCGCCGTTAAGTATTGAACATAACAATATACTGTACAGTAGATATATCTGATACAAAGAGAACACACACACACACACACACACACACAACCACACACACACACACACACACACACACATAAACCTTATCAATACTTAAGAGTGTGGGCACATTAAGAGACTCTCAGTGTGATGTTTTCTGAATTTATCAAGACGACAACGACCAGCACCTAACCAATGTTTTCCTAGAACAAATCCCAGCGATTTATTTTACTATCGGGAGGAGCGGAGCGGAAAGACCGCCAGAGACAACATGGTGTCGGCTGCCCCTCAGGAATGTCGGCTCGGCTTTACTGCGAGACGCTCAGATACCTCCGTCCCCGCGCGTTCTCATGCCTTGCTAGCTAATTACCTCGCCTCTCACCTGCTAAAATTAGAAACTCGGAGAAATAATCTTATTAACAGGCTGGAAGGATCTGGTGGTGCGTGTGGGAGGAGGCGTGTGGGGGAGGAGGGCGTGTGGGGAGGGCGTGTGGGGAGGAGGGCGTGTGAGGAGGAGGAGGAGGAGGAGGAGGAGGCCTTGTGAGGAGGAGGTGGGTTGAGTTTGTGGGGCAAGTGGGGAAGATGGCACGAGGAGGAGGAGTAGGAAGGAGGTCGTGGGGAGGACTTGGGAGGTCACGTGAAACCATAATATAACATCAAACACACCATCTTAATCTGCACTCCCTCGAGAGACGTAGAGTGAGGGGCAATATGATCGAGGTGTATAAATGGAAGTCAGGGCTAAACAAAGGTGATATAACAAAGGTACTCAAACTATCCAACCAGGAGCGAACTCGTAGCAATGGTTTTAAATTAGACAAATTTAGATTTAGGCGCGAGATAGGTAAACATTGATTTGGAAACAGAGTAGTGGATGAGTGGAACAAGTTACCAAATATCATCATTAACTCGAACGCGCTGGATAGCTTCAAACATAGGTTGGATGGATATATGAGCAATAGGGGTTGGGTGTAAACGGTACTGCAGTTCCTCCATTCCTATGTTCCTATGTTCTATGTTCCTAAGTTCCTATGTTCCTATGTAAACCACAACACATTAATCTCAAACCAAAACAAAACCAACATAAAAAACAAGGAGATAAATTAAGCCAGTTTTATCATAACTTGTCAATAATTCCCACCATGAGAGTTAATACCAGACTAAAAAAAAGTAACAACATTAATTCTCAATAATTCTTATCGTATTTATGACTGAGAATTAGAGATGAATCGATGATGAGGAAGACCCAGCATTTATTAAGAGTAACATATATAACAATAACAAATGAACCTTTAACTAGCACTTAATACAGAGAAGCTAATAATTTCTTGACAAACGCTTTAATAAACAATAAGACAATGACTATTACTACAGCTGTGTTCTTAGTGGCTAAAAGGAGCATTTACGAGGGATCTTGAATGTTAAAAGTGGTTAGGTTAGGTTAGGTTAGGTTAGTTAGGTTAGGTTAAGTTAGGTTAGCTTAGGTTAGGTTAGACGTAAATAATGTAGTATGATTAGAGATGAAAGTTACTGATAGCCGGAGATAAAGTTACTGATAGCAGGAGATAAAGATACTGATAGCAGGAGATAAAGTTACTGATAGCAGGAGATAAAGTTACTGATAGCAGGAGATAATGTTACTGATAGCAGGTGATAAAGTTACTGATAGCAGGAGATAAAGTTACTGATAGCAGGAGATAAAGATACTGATAGCAGGAGATAAAGTTACTGATGGGGAGATAATGTTACTGATACATTTCTTCTTCTTCTCAGCTAAGCAAGTCGCTGTAGGCCTACACTATGTTATTTAATATCTATGTTTGACAAATATTTATCAGGCCTACGTGCATATCATATCACTACTGGTTAACCCTTTGAGGACGATGGTTTAAAACTCTAACACGAATCGTTATACAAATAAGCAAAAGGTTGATGGGGGTTTATATTGTTTATAGACATAAACCAACATGACAGTGAGCATTACTCTTGTTGTCACTAGAAATGTCATAAATTAACCAAGTGACAGAAATCTCATTGCTCGTGCGTCGGAGGAAGCGTAGTCGGTGTTCGTGTTTTTAAATATAAATTAGTTTCCTCTGTTACTGTTGTTGAGGAGAGGCCATTGTTGTTGTTGTTGTTGTTTTGATATAACTAGATTTTAACCCCTTGATTACGATGCTAACCCTTGATTACGATGCTAACTCCTTGATTACGATGCTAACCCCTTGAGTACGATGCTAACCCCTTGAGTACGATGCTAACCCCTTGAGTACGATGCTAACCCCTTGAGTACGATGCTAGCCCCTTGATTATTATGCTAACCCCTTGATTACGCTGCTAACCCCTTGAATACGATGCTAACCCCATGAGTACGATGCTAACCCCGTGAGTATAATGAATTAGACATATGTGTAAGTTATTTTAACCTCTTGAGTACAATGCTAACCCCTTGAATACGCTAACCCCTTGATTTTTGTTTACGGGAATTAGCACACCCTGGCCCCCTAGGCCCCCCTAGGGGGAATAAGAACAAAAGAAATTAAAAATATAAAAGGAAAAGGTTATATTAATCTACAACACGAAGATGCCGGAAACCAGCTTTTTAAAGTGAGACAGATTGTATAAGTGTGGAAACACAGAAGGCAGAGCATTCCACAGTTTGGCTGTGAGGAAAGAAGGAGGTACTATAACGGGTTATTCTAGTGTGACCGACATCCACAGAGAAACGGTGGGCACCGCGGGCAAGACGTGTTACGATGGTAACCCGTGAGTATAATGAATTGGATATCTGAGTAAGTTATTTTAACCCCTTGAGTACGATGCTAATCCTGTGAGTACAATGACTAAAACCTTGAGTACGATATCTTAACCCCTTAAAACGACGATAACTACACTTAAGAGGTTAGAGGAGGGTTAGCAAGGAACCAAATCATTTTCACACACACACACACACACACACACACACACACACACACACACACACACGACAAGTATTCTAAGTCAAGTAACATGATTTACATGACGTCTTTATACACGCGGTGCGACAGCTTGGGCATAATGTAGTTTGATTTGGCAGCTTTATGTCTCCGCTGCCGCACATATATTCAGTTCTTCCTCAATAATAAGCTTTATGTCTATCTTTTGTCAGCTTATTATCGTATTGTGGTTTGGGAAAGACTGTCGTGTTATTTGTTAATGCTTTGATTTTCGTAAAGTTGGGGAAAAGAAGGGTGTTTATTTTGTATGATTCTAGTGGATGTGTTCTAGTTTTTATTCTGATCGGTTAAGGTATCATGTTATCATGCTCCAGTTAAGGAAGAATAGAGCTTTTAAATGACCCCTATAACAGCTGAGTACGTTATTTTAACTCCTTGAGTACGATATAAAAATCATAAGTAATTAATCCTCAAGTTAAGACGTTCATAGAGCTACCTAACGCAACTGTCAAGAGGTCTTCGTTGGCCAGTCAAGAGGAAGCGATGAGGAAGAACTTTTTCTCAAGTATGGACAAACACAGGTAAAACAGTGTGAATGAGGCAGCGGGCGAGGGAGGGCTGACGGGCTGGCGGTCGTGTGTCGGGCGCCAGCAACCCTCCCGCTGATGGACTTGAGACCCGCCGCTCTTAAAAAGTTGTTAAACGTACAAAGAGGCACCACCACTGGCCATCAATTCCCGCCACAAAGCAACACAGAGCAATGACGATGGAAAAGATGAGATTTACCTGTGATCAGAAGCCCTCAGGGAAGGCAATTAGTAAGTGAAGACGCTCCGCTGCGCCACACACCGCCACTCCCACGCAATTGGTTAACAGTGGTGTTTGTTGTGGTATGGGTTGACTAGTGCCATTGAGAGTAAACAGGGTGTGTTATCAGGGTGTTGTTGTGCTAAACCATAATCCCTGGTAGGTGATGTTCAGCTCAGTTAAGAGACTCAAACTGGTGAGCCTGTCGTAATAGTCACCATTTCAGTACTTTCATCTAGACAATACAGGTGTAGGTACAGACCAAATACCAGAAGGTACAATACAGGTACACAGGTATAATGCAGTTGAATGAAAACTCCATCAGTAGACGTTTGTGTACAGTCACCATACGCTAAAATATTATCTTATTAAACAAAAATACTTCCAATCTTAATGAAATAGAACGAAAAGTTGTGGAATCACTTAATAAACCAGCTCATTTCACCTGATGATTAATAAACACCTTAACGCTACCTATGATATTAACCTGAAGGATAAGACTTAATATATATATTATAATTTTGGGAATATGTGAATAGTGACAAGATTGTAATTAAGTTATGGGAAAGTGTAGGGTATTTTTTCATATCTGGCTCTCCTGGCTCACTGGCTCCCTGTCTCTCCCTGTCTCTCCCTGGCTCCACCCTGTCTCTCCCTGGCTCACCCTGGCTCTCCCTGCTTCCTCCTTGGTCCTACTGTTTCTTCTCTGACTCCGGTTCCGTCCTACCTTCCCTTCTCCTCTTTCCTTCCCCTGCCCCCCACATCCTCTCCCTGTTTGTCACTTCCATTTTCTTCATATTTTCCTTCCATCTCTCATTGTTGTTCTTCTCTCATCTTCGTTT